TTTTCCTTGGGTCTGTAAGCAGTGCTCAGGGGAGCTGCAGTCAAATCGAGCGAGTCTACTGTCCAAGACCTTTTTAAATGTGATAGAGGAAGAATGTCACTCTGAGGACTTAAGAGAACCAGACCAAAGGCATGGTGTTTTTTGTCACCCCATGTGCATATGCAATCGGACAGTGAATGAGGAAGACTGAAGAAGAACCGATGCATTTGAATTGTGGTGTTGGGGAGGAATATTGAAGGTACCGTGGACTGCAAGAAGAACAAACTAATCTGTCGCAGAAGTACGTCCCGAATACGCCTTAGAAGCGCACATCGCTAGACTTCAACTGCCATGCTTTGGGCATGTTATCAGGAGAGACCAGGCCTTGGGACAATGTATCTTGCTTACTGAAGTACAGAGTTGGAGAGAGAGAGAGAGAGAGAGAGAGAGAGAGAGAGAGAGAGAAGTCCCTTAAAAAGACAGATAAGACAGTGGTTACAGCAGTGGCAATTGTGAGGATGGGCCGTGTGTAAGGCTGCTGTGAGGGAGCAGCAGGTCACTGGCCCCTGACCGCAGGATCTATTACCATTGGATTTGGGGGGTTATTTGAAATATATATTAGTTGTAGATAAAACTATTTTTAAAATCCAGTACTATATCAGTCATAATGAACTATTAGTATTGTGAAATATATGTATACACATGTATATGTATATATATTTTCAAACTGTTTCCTATGTATCTATGATTTTTTTTAAATTGAGGTCTTACTGGGCATGCTGTTTTGTAGTTGTTTTTCCATTAAATATCTCATGATTTTTATTTCTCCTTATCTCTAGAGTGTGACATTGGATGACTGCATAATATCCTAGCTATTCTAACATGCATTAAGCCAATCCTCTATCTTTGGTAATTTATATTATTTTTGAATGTTTATTGTTGGAAACAAGATTAAGATCAGTGTGTTTTCACTTGCACAGATATCCACATAAAGATTAGACCCCTTCGGCATAACTATCTCACAGCGCAGTGATTGGCGCCAAGGTTCTGAGCATCTTTCGTATCTTAGGAACGCATGCCTTACTCTCCCTAAAGTGTGTGACAAGGTTCAGTGCCACGAGCAGTTCAGGTGGATGCTCTCACCAAGTTCATCCTGTGTAGTCTTTGTGGGAAAACATCTATCTGCAAAATTATTACTTTCTCTTTTGGTTCTTTAAATCAACTTTTCTTTGAAATTCCATTTGTCATTAAACACCTTCTGCTACTTTACATCTTTTGTTTCTATTTCTGTTCTTCTCGTGCCTAACTTGGGCCATGCGAATAAAAATTCCAACGACTGCTTCCTCAGTTCATTCCTAAGGTTGAATCACACAGTACATGTCAGATTACAAAACACATCAAGTCCGTAGTAGTGACTCAAGAAATGCCAGTTACAGTTGACACTGAATAGCATAACAATGAAAATTAATCTTTGTTTGTTTTCTCTCTCTCTTCCCAACAGATGATTCTGCTGCAGAGAGCTTTAATGGCAATGAGACTCTGGGGCACAGTTCTGTTGCTTCCGGGGGAGCACCCGGCGGGGAGATGGGAGAGCCCAACAGTGAAAGCAACACGGGGCTGGAGCAGGAGGAGCAGCCACTGAACCTGAGTGACAGTCCCCTCTCAGCGCAGCTGACTTCCGAGTACAGAATAGAGGAGCCCAGCAGTGATGGGAAAAGCAAATACAAGAACCTTCTAGTGTCTGACCTCAAGATGGAACGGGAGGCGAGAGAAAATGGAAGCAAGGTGAGCTCGTCTTGATTTCCAGGGTTTCTGAGCTGGACATGAAGGTTGCAAACTAATATGTGTTCCTGTAGGAGATGGGGCTTATCAACAATAAAACTATTTGGAAAAAATATTTGAAATAAATGCCAATAACTCATTACCAAGAGGCCTGTAACTCTGGTTGTTGTATGTGTCTATAAAATATGGGTAGGCTCCAAAAGGCTCATGGACAAATAGAATTAGGAGGAAATGAGATATTTCTGAAAGCCCTTTGAAGCCCCCTTATATAACAGAAGGCTTCTGGACTCCCAGAGAGCAAACGTCAGCATGCTTCAGACAAACCTGTCTGTGTGATTGCACAAGGCATCACTGGGGTTCAGTTTCTCATCCAGAGCTCTCTGGGAATGTGTTGAACTCGACTCTCGAGTTTTAGGTATCCATAGTGGACACGGTTTTAGACTGTGTATAGGTCACCATCTAATTTCTCCTGGCAGTAAAGTTGCCCGTGTCAATAAAGTTTCAGTGAAATTCTCCAATTTACTTCAGAAATCTGAGAATGTCTGAGATTTACTCCGAGTACACTGGAGAATTGTTAAGTGCCAGTGTTCTTGATGACACTGGTGGATTAAAGAATGAATTGAAGGATGAACTTTATCATTAACTGTAGTAAACAGAGACAAACATATTTCAGACATATGCTTTCAATTTCTAGATTATACTAAAAGGAATACAATCCCATCATTGCAATTGATTTATTTTTTTTAATGGTTTTTTTTTAAGCTTAACTTCTACTTGTTTGAAAACACATGCGGCTAACTTGGCACTGAAGATACATTTTGGAATACTTGCAGTTGATGAAATACAAATTTTCACTCCCTTAGTCTACTCCCATCTCTAAATTGGAAGAGGAACCGGTCTTTTGACATAAATCCTAAAAGCAAAATATCTTAATCTGGATTAATTTCTGAATTTGCGGAAGCACCCCATTTCCTAAATTGGCTCTATGTAAATCTTTTGCCTTGCCGGAGGGTGTGCTGCTTTACCCTCTCTTAAGCACATCACTAGACATTATCAAGCACTTAGGTCCTTTGCCTGAGGGAGGCTTTGGTCAATGCAAAGATAGCCTCTTGAGTGAGCTTAAAGCCACACCACACCAACGCAAGTGACTTTATGTTCGCTAACGTGATCGGAAACACTAGGTGATATTTTACAGAACAAATTGACTCTGCGTCTTCCTGACTGCTTTTCTACAACACAAACATTCAAGAAACTTCCTTTCTCTTCTATGGGTCCAGTGAAGGCTTTTCTAGTGTGATTCTCCTCTCTCAGCTCTCATTAAATACTATTACAGTAACAATAAACACTAAAACAATTTCCTGGGCAAAATAAATGAGATGAATATCTCTCAGGGAGAAAGAGAGGCCTTTCTACTCCCGTAACAGTGTTATAGGCTCAGAAACCCACAAAGGCAGTGCCACATTTTCATAATAAGGCTGCTTATGAGTTGGCATCGCCTCACTGGCAGTGGGTTTGGTTTTGCCTTTACACCTCTACTATAATGATGTTCTAAAAATCACAGATCAGACAAAATATGCAGGGTAAAGCGGATGATGGTTCTAGGCAAGGTGACACCCCTTTTGAGGAACTGAATGTTCATTTGTTTTAGGAGAGGAAGAGGGAGTCCCTGGGTGATGCAAATAGGTAACATACCTGGGCTGCTAACCAAAAAGTTGATGGTTCAAGACCACCCAAGACACCCTGGAAGAAAGGCTTGAGTGGCATCTACTTCTAAAAAACCACCACTCCAAACCCAATGGAGCCCAGGTCTGCTGTGACCCAGCGCCTGCAGTAGTGGTGCTGGTAGAGAAAGGGCAGCTTGCACAGAGACAGGGCACCAGGAAAGCAGGTGGGAAATCACGAGTGTGGCATTTGGAAGTGAAGCAGAGTGCCTGCCTAATGGAGAGCACGGTCCACTCAGGTGACCACTGAATGTTCACCACCAATGAAGATGGAACATAGTTCGGTTTGTGAAACCAGTCTTGGAAACATGTGCTGGGAAAGAATTCTGAGGGACTGTTTTTTTGGACTCCTTGAAAAGGGCACATTAAATAATCGGTGCACTCAAAGCATTCTCTTAAGGCCCTTGATACACACTTTGGAAAAGAGACTATACATACATCTGAAGGCTTTTTAGGGCAAGTACTCATTCTTAGGTTAAAACATTAAGAGTTCAAAGAAAGTAATAGCTCTAGTGCCCTCCTTTACCATTTGCCTGTCATTTTGTCCTGCGTTGGTGACTTGCATGTTGCTGAGCTGTTGGGAGCCATACTACTGGTAGAAGAGAAGAATGGTCCACTTCTGAACAATTAGCTACTACCGACCTTACAAGGAGCAGTGGAACATTACCCAGGACAGTGTCAGCAGATAGACTCCCAGCTGGGAGTCACTACAATACACCTGGAGAAAATCATAGCAGCTGTGAGGATGGCCCAGGATTGGGGAGTGTTTCATTCTATTACACCAGGGTCGCTGTGGGTGGAAACTAACTTAATGGCACCTAACAACAACAACAGTAAACACTAGTGTAGTAACAGTGAAAGAGGTCTTCCTAGAGCAAATGAGTCTTGGAATGAGCATTGAAGAAAATGTAAGATTATAATTTTTCAGTTATGGTTTTATGTCAAACATTGAAGGGCCGGAATGTATACAGGAAAGAGAGGACTTGGGTTTACCGGCCAGGAACTCATTGTTTATTCTCAGCTAGATATAGGTTTATAACTTGTCAATTTTAGAACATGAATGAGATAGTTATGCAACATAGACTATTTGTCTCTAATTGATTTATTCATCAAATATTTACTGAACAGCTCTGACATGCAAGGCATTGTGGCAGTAGTCAAGAATATAGGAATGAAGAAAGCTAGGCTTTTGACAGCTCTTTGTCTAACAGGAGAGAGAGAATTGAACTTGAATTTCTATGTGATTTCATAAGTAACGTGATAGACTTATGGGCAGATTAAAATGAGAGAACAGAAATGGGGCACCCAAAGGACAATAGTGAGTCTTAAGGAGGACTTTACAGAGAGATTAATGCCAGCATTGAGCAAGGGAGAGTAAGCAGGAATTATCCAGATGGAGAGGATTATTCATGAGAGTAGTTTAAGTATGTGTTGAGGCTGAAACTCAAGAAAGAACATGCTTGGTTTATTTACTTGCAGAAGTGTTGGCAAGGATGCTGACAGGGAGAAAATGGTAAGAGGAATGAAGGATAAAGGAGACCCATCAAGAAGTTTTTAGCCCTTTTAAGGGCTTTGAATTTCACCCCATAGTTTAGGTTGTTTTTGACTTGGATTATGGAAAGTTCATTCTGGCAATATTGTGATGGAGGAGTAAAAAAAGGAAACCATTTAGAGAGCACTGTGACAATCAGTAAAAAGACAATGACAATTAGAATCAAGTAAACAGAAATGGGAATGGAAAGCAAAAATCGAGTATATAGATAGAGGGAGAATAACATTCTTTGATGTTCTGTTTGCAGCGTCATCATATAGCCACAGAGACAGCCTGGCAGGTTTTACACCGCCATACTAATAAATGCTTTTGAAAAAAATGAACAGAAGTTTATTCAAGGTGAGACGTGAAGAAGAAAACTCTAGAATTTCTTCAAGACTGTTGACTTGGTCACCTAAGTGGATGGTTTTATTGACCAAGGTTCAGAATAAGAAACATTTGAAGGAGAAACAAATTTTGACATGTGAAGTTATAGTGTCTATCAAAACCCAAGTGCCAGTTTAGAAAGAAAGTTGGAAAGACGGTGTGTTCGACTGGGTTGACTAAAGAGACCTTCATATGTGTGTGAGAGAGAGCTTTATATCAAAGAGTAATTGAATGTTGAATAAACATCCCATCCCAGTCCTCAAGTCCTTTAAGTCTGTCTCTTGCTAGTCCATAACTTCCTCTTCAGACTCACGTAATTCATGCAATGATGCAGAATGCAGGAAGATCACAGGCCTGGTGGGTGCAAAGTCTTGTGGATCTAATGGTGGTGGACACATCATGGAGGGCTCTGGCTGCCATCAGCATGGCTCCATGGGGCTCCCCCAGCTCTCTGCCTGTCTCCTCCACAGGAAGGTGAAGCAGAGCGAGTGTGTGGCCTGTCTCCAGGGAGAAAGACAGGAAGGTTCCAAAATCCTCAGGAGAAGGTCACGCCCACAAGGAGGCATCATCAGGCTGTGACTGCGACCTGGTTGACAGGCTAAACCCCACTCCACTTTATTTATCAAGTTGACATGAATTATGTAGCTACCATAGATAGATATTTGAAAGGCATCAGATAGGAGAGCTGCTTGAAGCTGTTGCTGACCTCACCTGAGAAGAGAAAAAGAGTAAGAATATACCATATAATATACCTATAATGCAATAATATAAATGCATAAGGATCCTGTAGCAGATTGGGGCTTATGGAGAAAGAGCCACCCAAGGAAGCCAGATAAAAAATATGGCACCAAGAAAAGGAATTTTAGAAGCAAATGTGTCTGACATTTCAAACTGTTGCAAGTGGTTAAATTAATTAATGATCGGATGATATAAGAGGAACCCTGTTGACACAGTAACTAAAGCGCTCAGATGCTAACTGAAGAGTTGGTGGTTCAAATCCCCCAGTTGCTCCATGGGAGAAAGCTGCGGCACTTGGCTTGAAGATGGATAGCCCAGAAAGCACTGTGCAGCAGTGCTTTTTTGTCCTCTGGTGTTGCTCTGAGTTGCAAACCAACAGCCTTGTGTTTGGTTTGGTTTGGAAATGAAATGACATCAGCCTAAACTTGGACTGTGGTTTTGGGAAAGAACAGAAATCATTATTGAGAAATGGATGAGTAATCATTGCAGAGGTTGAGATGGGCATGCTGAGTCATATTAACTGTGCAGGAAACAGTCTATTGGGTTTCTTTAAAAGGATTTTTTTTTAATTATTATTCTGAATCCTTATGTAGCAAGAATTCATTTAGTTTCCTTGTGACTTTGGA